TAAAGTTAAGTTTTCCTGTTGAGAAATTTGGGTACCACACTCTCGTTGAAATTAATAATAAATTTCCGGAGAGCCTCCAATTTGCAACGTACGCAACCTGAGGGACCGCTGGTACGGTAATTAATGCCATAAATAACTTTCACCACCTTTACCCATCAAAATGTCACATTTAGATTTTATTTCAGAAGAGAAAAAGAGGATTATTTAGTTCTAGTTTTAGTTCAAAAAAAGCGTAATTAATGCCATAAATAACTTTCACCACCTTTACCCATCAAAATGTAACATTTAGATTTTACTTCAGAAGAAAAAAGAGGATTATAGTTCTAGTTTTAGTTCAAAAAAAGGGGATTATAAGAAAATACTTTTTAATGATAGTAAATTGAAATTTCATTGATTTTATAGTGAAAGATATTGCGTTCAACGTGCGACATCTGGGTTTGGATATAAAAATTTATTAGGGCGATTGAATGCGGCCAGCTAGCAGTTTTTAACGAGCGTCTCTTTCAATTGGCCGCGGTGCAGTAAAGCCGTCCAAATATTAACATCAATTTTCTTCTGAAGCGGCTGAACTAATTGCTTTACTGCAAAAAAATCTCTCGTTTAAGTGAAGTTTAATGGGATCAGTTTTGGTTCATTTTTATTGGCGTGGGTTGTTCGGGAGGCGTTTGTTTTGTTTCCGGTTTCCGGGCCGGACGTATGTAATGCGATTTCATTTAGATGATTTACGGGCGCAGATATTGTGCGCGTAGCGGAATCGTATGGAAATGAACGGGAGGAGTACGAAATGGACGGTCGTGCATACCATATGAAAAGTGAGAAATATGCGACCAATGAAATAGTAGATCGGTTTAGTTTTAGACAGCCGGAGAAGAGAAACGCTAAAAAACAATTTATTTTTCCACCTCCCTCGGACCATTACAAGTCATCATTTAAAAACGTTTCGCAATTGACTTACGAACCGCAGGACTTGACAAATAGCTACTGTTTCTAGTGGCCATAACTCAATAAAGTGCTATTTTTCAATTTAGCTGGATTATCGTTCGACTGTCTGCTACATCTACCACGTTATTCGCAGGATTACTCCAAGATCCAATTCCCGTAATCTCATACATTTTAGATTGCTTTTCGTCTGCGTATCGTCTCGATTTTTTTTATGAACGACATCTGACGTTTCTTATGATATTTCATTTCCTTTTCCTTCGGGATATAAACAAGATAAGAGATAACCGTAGAGATGATCATTTTAAGCGTTTGCATGATAACCACATAGTTCCATTATAGTAGCGTTTGCGTTAATAGCATTAATGCTCGTTTCAACTGAGAAATATGAGTCAGAAACGCCATTACAGCAATAATCGCTTGTGAACTCCCGTAACCAACTTATCTCTTGTCGTCAAACACTACAGTACAGGGAAATTTCAACCCGAGCGTGGCTAGTAATTAGGCAAGTAAACAAACGTAATGGTCCACCACAGTTTGGTCGCTCTCTGTTTGTATGTTTTTCGAGCAATGAAATCGATTTCTGCACTCTGTACGCCATATTAACAGTTTTCGCCAATAACCCGCTCGTTTTCGACATCCGCATTGACTCGGAAAGTTACCCTCACGTTATGTGGGCGACGAAAATTAAATTGGTGGCGGCTTGAATTTAACGCCGCATAGTTGCCCAACCTCGCCCACATGATCTACGGCTCAATAGTTCTTGTTTTTGTGGCAGCTAAAACTGCAAACTATAAGCTTAAAAACAAGCAAAAAATTACATTGATATAAATAAACAAGTAAGAATCTTCACATTGTTGAAACTATCCTATATCAACAACTATAAAAGTAGAATCGAAGATAATAAAATATTGATGTATTTCAAAACATCGCTCTGTCCATATTTATGAAGACATAGACATGATTTATAACGTAAACTGATGTTTGAAATATCTATTTTAAAATGGTGAATGAAAGCCAATATGTTGATTGTTAAAATGTATCTAAAATGGTCCAAAATCAAACACTTTGAAAGCATAGTTGGGAATTGCTAAACATTCGTGATATTCGAAGCGTTGCTGTGTCTTTATTTATGAATTAAAACTTAAATTAAAAGTTGAAAAAAAAACTGAAACAGGCCAAAATGAAATTGTTGGTCGGGTTTAAGATGATTAAAAATCGATGAAAGTTAAAAAATAGATATATTAAAATTGATAACTTAAATTAAACTTTGAAATGGTGAAATGTGAAATTGTTAGGGAAAAATTTTGAAATGCTCTAAAATCAAATACATTAAAAATGGGTTGAGGCTTATTAAAAATTGATCAAATTCAAAACATTGCTATGTTTTTGTTTATGGAAATACAGAAATAATTTATAGCTTCAATTATCATTAATATTAGCATCTTTTGCTAATACTGGTGTGCAAACTATTATAATGTTATTAGGCCAATCCCTTGAAGTTGACTCGTGATGCTTAGCCAAGCGAAGCAATACAAATAACAACGGCTCACGTTATTGTCGAGATATAATTGAATGGTTGAAGCCTTATTAAGCTCCAGCAATGCGGCGTGTTTGGTTAAGCGATGAATTGTAGCGGTAGTTACGGACGTAATCGGATCCCGGGATGGCTGCCCCCAGGGCTTGATCCTCCCGACCTAATTCCCGACGTTCTGCCGTGTTTCGCCCACTTCAGGTCCACACCACAAACCCACGAAAAGATTCTCGTTTTTTCACCCGACTTCGCAAGAAGACGACACCCTGGTTCATGAATAAAATATCGTGGAAAGTGGCAACGTCGTATGTGCATTTGAATGTGGGAATGTGTTATTTTCTCGCACCCAATTATCTATGATCAACATTTGTACTGCAAGATTTTTTCTAACTTACTATAACAGTATATTTCTTCTTTGTTTTGCTAGCAAGGACACAAATATTGCGTGATAAACCGGGGAGAAATCGTTGAAAAGAAATATGAACCAATTATTTTGACCCTTGTCCCAAGAATCCTGCGGAGAGAGAAACCAGGATTCGTTTGGTCCAGATTTATGTGAGAGAATCCTTTCAACCACAGCGATACTGCAAAAACCGGGAGGTTGAAAAAATAGAGTAAGCAATCTGAATAAAAATCTTGAAACCCGATTCCATTAACCATTTCGCAAAACTGCTGTATCCACTTTAATTGAATTAGTGGCGATTCTTGTCAGAGAAACAACATGGAATAGAGGAACAGCATGCGCTGAGGGTGACATTTGATCGTCGACAAAACAAATCTCATCTGGTCGATGCAAATAAAAGCTACCACTACGAATCGAACTTTCTATTACTCCATGAACGGAAGTTTTCGAATTGGTCACTTGTAACCGTATTGATCCTACAAGTTCCGCAGGGAGCTCCCATTTGGAATAGTTCTTAAGTGTACCGAATGAAATGAGCGCAAGCGTTTTCCGAGAATTTGCTCGCGTTAACTCTTCTTCTAACGCCTTACAACTGAATTAAGAAAGTTTACGTGTCAACGACAACTTATTTATGTCTTGATAATGTAGGAGGGAAGTTTAATAGTTTTTTTTGAGTATATACCATATTAAAACTAATAAAAAGTAAAAAAAATAGTACTCATCCCTCGAAGTGACCTTGTTATTACTTAGTAGAATGGAGAAAATATTCAAATTTAGTACTTCTTTTTGTGCTAATGAATCCTGGTGGTGTGGCAATTGAAAAGATAAATGATGTGTCAAATTAAATCAATTTTTTTATGTAATAAAAATGATTAATTATGTTATTAATATTCATTTAATAAGTTAAATTTTAGGGGATATTTTGTATTAACGCATATGTGTATGTAGATTAGACTGGTAAATGAGAGTAACATTAACTCTGATTAAGGTACAATTTTGGGGGACAATGCGCGGCTCGGCGTCCTTATGTATTGTTTATTATCTGACGATAAAACGCGATACGTTGGGGCGACTATAAATTGGGTCTCATCATCCCTAATGTCCTCACCTATATTACGTAAGCGGAATTTACAGGGCCATTACGTCCTGTGTACGCCGGCGTGGCAATTACGGAGGCCAGATACGGGGTCAAACCCATTTTGACAGGTTGTTATGAACACTGACCGATCTCACTCAGGGGATGAATTGTATTTGACCGGATGAAACAGTCCGCGTGCTAGTTGGGTGGGGAAATCTAAGTGTCCGGGTTTATTGCCAACTGTCACCGTCCATAACTGATCACTTGCTAATTATAAATTCCTAGAATAGATGTTGTAACATCCTAAATTATCTATAAAGAGAGTGATGAGTTTTTAGCAAGTTCTAAATTAGATTCAAAGTTTTTCCCATAAATTACTTGGCATCCCGGTAGGTGTCGCGTGCATATGTTTGCGCCAACTGTCCATGTCTTGTAGTACAAGCCCGTTTTTGTTACGATTAGCATACAGGGCGTGCGAACGAAGCGGGAGTGTTCGTAAATTTTATCGCCAAGTGCCACTTCAAGAAGACCGCACGGGCGAATATTCGGAATCACTAAATTTACTCCTATCCTAGTACGACCTTGCGCCATACACGATCGAATGTGTGCACAAAAATCCCAATGCGATATCTCTACGGTTCGTAAACTCGAAGTACGTGGATGTGTGTATACACACGGTATTCCATTTGCTTAGTCCGGCCGTTCGTCTACGGAAAACCACTAAAAAAAGAATTGTTCAAACCGTTTAAACGCTAGAATCTCTGGCGTGAGTCGGGAACATAGGGATAGGATCTAAACCCTCCCCGGCTTTTAGCTGCGACGTCCAAGCTTTGCAAGTAACGACCGTACCGAGGCAAATTTATTACATGTACTCGATACTGTTTCAGTTTAAAAGAATTGCAGTTTGCTCCGGGCAGGACATTAAAGATGTAAATGGTGGTCGGAGCTACGAGCTACGCGAATTGTTTTGAGTTGCCACCAGTTTATATAAATCTACCGAACGTCCTCGACTCTCTAAATATTCTCTTCTGTTTTGCTTTTTCCAGTATCCTCGGAGAGCAGACATCCCGTTATGGTCTACATCCATGGCGAGTCATTCGAATGGAATTCCGGTAATCCTTACGATGGAAGCGTGTTAGCGGCATACGCCGACATGGTCGTGGTTACTTTAAACTACAGACTCGGGATATTAGGTAAGACTTTAATATGATCTAGACTATGTCTCCGTTCATTACCCTACACTATAATTAGTTGGAGACCCTTGTTAGTCGAAACTATCCGGCAAAACATCTTAAGGGGTCCCAACCTCTAAATTTGGAATTACTTTGTGACTGAACTTTGGCCTGCCACATAGAGATTGTCCTCATTTCCAAACAAACAGACTTATCCACTCAACTTTCCAAAGTTTATCTTACATTAACATAATCGATATCGACACAAAACTTCTTTTATTTTGTCTTATTTTATTTTATTTATTTTTTTAGGTTTTCTTAACGCCAACCCAGTACCTCACTTAAAAGCTAGAGTAGCTAATTATGGTTTGATGGATCAAATAGCAGCACTTCATTGGATCCAACAAAATATTGCTTTATTTGGTGGTGATCCAGGGAATGTTACATTATCTGGCCACGGATCAGGAGCAGCTTGCATTAATTTTTTGATGATATCCCCGACTGTAATGCCGGGGTTATTTCACAGATCAATTTTGCTTTCTGGCTCAGCCTTATCTTCGTGGGCGTTAGTTGAGGATCCCGTTAATTACGCGGTGAAGTTAGCAAAAGAAGTAAATTGTAGTATTCCGGAAGATGTGGCGAAAGATCACGAAATGATCGTGGATTGTTTGAGGGAAACTCCTCTAAACGATCTTCTTCAAGCCGATGTGGTGGCCCCGTCGTATTTGAGTGCGTTTGGGCCTAGTGTGGATGGTGTTGTGATTAAGACTGATTTTGCAAAAGAACTTGTTACTTATTTTAAACCGTCCGATTTACAAAGTTTCGTTGGCCCGGTTAACGCGAATATGAAACGAAGTGAGGCGACGTTAAATCCACGAGGTAGCAATCCTTACGATTTACTTTTCGGTGTTGTAACGAGTGAAGCACTTTGGAAATTTTCATCAAACGACATTCAATCGGGCTTTGAGGGTGAAAGACGCGATAAAATCATAAGAACTTATGTGCGAAACGCTTACACGTACCATTTAAGTGAAATATTCTTCACGGTGGTGAACGAGTATACGGACTGGGAACGAACTGTACAACATCCCATTAATACTAGAGACGCCGCCGTCGCCGCTTTGAGCGACGCCCAATTTGTAGCTCCCTTAGTTCAAACAGGAGATCTCCTCAGTGCTAAACCTCCACCTCCAGGACATGAAGGAAATGGTCCTAAAACGTTTTTTTATGTTTTCGATTATCAAACCAAAGATGGAGACTATCCACAAGTAAGTTTTAACATAACTTATTAATTTAATTATTAACATTCAGGTTTAGCCGTCTAGGTCTAGTGTTAGTTCTAGTTTTAGTTTAAGATTATGTGATGTTTCTCTACAAAACGAAAATAAGGTTGATAATTATAGAAGAATTTCGACGTGTTTCACTTTTTTACTTTGGAGAAAACTTCGATGAGAATTCCAGAAAGTCGCCAACGTCGTCAGACACTTTGATTAAATAATTTCCATAAGTTTTTTCCCTCTTCACGTAGGAGGGAAAAGGGACTCGACAGAATTGGAACGAAACTAATTTAAAATTCCTGTGACGTTCGAGTTAATAAAAATCGACAAAGTAAGTGGAGCTAATGAAGTGTTGAAGTTATTTTTTTGCTGTACCTTCGATCTACCTAAAGCGATCGGAAAAATGACAGGCTATTTAACCGAATTTATTTCACTTCTAATCTTTATACTGCCAATTTCATTCAACTAAAATAAAAATCTGTTTATGAATTTTTTTCTATAAAGGTCATTGTGTGTTCAGACTTCGTCTCGCGATAAATTTTGTTGGTCCCAGAAAAAATGTATTCCCACTGAGTTCGTGATCTGGGCGGCTAAAAGAATCAGCAAGACATCTGCCTCTGCTACCACAAGAGGGCATGGCAACCACTGAGATGAGCTTAACGGCTTTAGAAAGCACGACATTGGCAATTCGATTCCATTGTGCGGTAAGCTTGACCAAAGCCTGGACCTCATTGTTCACCGTGATGAAGTTTTCATTTCGACGGCTACTTTTTCACCACCTCTATTGAATTTTTAATCCTTCCCGGCATAGATGGCGTTCTCAACCCGAGGTAAATGCAACCCCAATTTTAAATTAAAATAAAAAATGATTTTCCTTTAAACTCCACTTCACGTAAACCTGTCGTCGACACAAGAAATACAAAGAGGTTCCTCATCACGATTCGTGCACAGCATACGTCAAGGAGAGGATTCAAATAAACATAAAAATGGATTCACAAAGGAAGTAGGTTTCGGGTGTACCTGAAGGATTCTAAGCTCATCCCCGGCGAAGAGAGAAGAAGAGGAATGAGGGTATTATTGCTGGAGCACGTGCCGGAAATACGTGCCAGAGACGCGGGACGTTCTATACGACGCACGTGTGGTCTTAATAGGCGACGACATACGTCCGGCACTCCGCTTAGGTGGCGCTGTGGGAAACCCGAGACCGCACTTTCATCAAGATTGCAAAGCTTGAGTTACAATCGAGTATAATTTCTTCTTATAGAATTGCTACGTTGATTAAACTTGTTTCAATGTTGGTTTCATTAGAACGAAATATAAACTTACAACGAAAAGAATTTCAATTTAACGTTAGTATCGGAACAAGATACTTTATTACATCGCAAACAATACTTCAAACATTTCAGATTTAATCGTATTAGAGGATTTAAACATAAAGAAGCTCTCTCTATTCAGAGTAGCAAACTGGGTGATGAACTGTACCGTATTCTCAAATGTATAGAATTTCAAATTAGAAACATGTCGTTGTTGTTATATTATTATGTGAGTTACTTTCATTTAAATCTGGATTATCTATAAATTATAATAAAAGCTTAAGTTTTAAGAAATGTATAAATTAACAAGTAAATGTATAGCTCTACTTTTTAGTTTAATAAAAGATTAAAGGTAAATACAAGAAATATGAAGCAACACATGTTGTAGTGCCTCGGCCGCAAGCGACCTTGGCTTAATAACATAAAAACTGTATGCTTGGCAGCAAGCGATCTCGGCATAACCTAGTGTTTTTATGACTTTTTGTGACTCTGACATTGTACTTGATGCGATAAAATTGAAAATCTGTAGTCATAATAATGCTGTTTCTGAAGAAGGTTGACTTTGTGATTTTTTATAGGTTTAATGAATTTTTACTGAACCATATATAATTTTTTAGTTATTTAATATTTGGCATAAACTAATACATAAACCTTAACACTAGTGGAACATTATCACTTTATGTAAGTTTTCCCAAACCACGCTACAACAACGAAATTATTTAGAGTATATTATGGCGTACTTGCAGTATAATGGGCCACGAAGTGTACTCAAAATTATTATTATTATACCTACCAGCTGGGAATATTAAAACAATAAGTAAGCACGTAAGGTTACTGTTGTCTCGGAGAAATAAACCGATATGAGGATGCTGCAGTAGCTGCCGGAACTGTAACAATACATTTAGTCGGCACATATGTGTCTCTGTATGAGTCTATTTTATACCGTAGAACTACAACAATGATTACCTACAAGTTAAAGTTACTTGAAATGATAACAAGTTCCACAAAATTATTAAAGTTATCGTATACTGTGGTAATTTTTTTGATGAAGACTTGAAGTAAACTTATTCATGGTCATAATCTCAAGTACCTCTCCATCCCCGAGGACCTATTTTAATCCTCGGGACTATAAAACTTCTTAATACCATGCATTAGTTAACGTTCCCTCCGTTCATTTTTTACAGAGAATGGGAACCGTACACGGCGAGGAATTACCTTTTTTCTTTGGTGCACCACTTGTTGACGGCTTCAATCATTTTCCCCGGAATTATACTAGGTCTGAACTGGCACTGGCTGAAGCGGTCATTATTTATGTGGCCAATTTTGCAAGAACGGGGTAAGCGATTATTTTTTTATTCCGTTGAGTTAAAACTTTATTAAAACTTCATGTTGTTCGTTTCTTTCGTAATTCCTTTAATAAAATACTTTTCAAATGAAAAATGTATTTAAGGATTTTTAATCTTTTTGTACTTAGTATTAAATAACTCGCGTAAAGTGGCTAAGCGTGTAGAGGCTGCATTAATAGTGAGACCGTACGCAGACCTAATAATGCAAACATGTAAATACCATCCGGCGTGTTTCGTGTGCCGGTTGCGCAGGTGCCCTGAAGTTTCATAGTCAACGTCAGCGCGGTATCATTGAATATTCATCTCCTTGCTTGGTCGGATAAATCTCAGGAAGCTTAAGTGACAGGCGTATTTCCACCATCCCCGCTGTGAAATTCAGGTTGATGTGCAAATTATTAATTATCAGAATAAATAATTGTTCAAAACGCGTCTTACATGATATATTTGCAAATTCTATCTATTATTTTGGAAATTGTTATAGTTAAAATTGTTTGGTTGTGATGAGATAAATTGAAATCTAGAAAGGTTGGAATGAAATTTCCGCGCCTCTTGCATATTGTCGCTCGTTTTTAATCTGGTCAATACAATTTCGTCCAGCTTTTAATTAAATCCCTGCCCGTTAACAGTAAAATGAGGGAGGGAGGTCGATGACCTAAATTGTCAATTTGAACGCGCTAAAAATAAATCCACGTCCGCGACAGCGGACGACGTGTGTAGGACGTATTACGCGTGGTTTTGTTTTTCGCGCCGTTAATTAAGCGTTTAATCAAATGCGCAACTTTCTAGGCGACCCCCGACAGAGTTAATTATTATCAAAGTTCACTACACGGTAGTTGGGCAGTTAAAATGAATTAATGGTTTGTACAGTTATTCCCAAATTGAACTGTCGACTAGTATAACGGCCTACACGGCGCACGGTCCGGTCCGGTAACGCGAGCTTATAAAATATTTGAACAATGTCGATTTGGCGCAATTTAGTGCCAAAAAGTTTTGCAGTTTCGCGCACCCAGCCTCGCACCATTAGCATAATAAATTTACGCGGGAATTTGCATAGATATCGCACCGACCAACGACCCCTAACTCATTGCCGTGCACCGCGGCCAACCGTAAACCGAATTATTAGAACTAATACAACGCAACCAGCAGGGTTAAAGGTGACGTTCGTACCCAAGCAGGGTAATAATTTTGAGTTTTGCGGTTTCGTTTCCTTTGTTCTCGATACAATTCCACAAAACTATAGGCTAACTCTACGTAGTTAGAAGGGTTACCGCTGGTTAAATCTGGCTCTATCCTCTATGACTGCAAATGCCCACATTAAAGCTTTTCTCGCTTAATTGGCTTAACAAACAAAACTCGTACGTGATTTTTTTCTCTAAAACTCTGATAAACTAAAATATTAATTAGCCTTAATTTACTTTTTAAGTTTAATTTCATTTAACTAGCTAAAAGTTGTGTACAAGAACGTCGTAGATATGATAATTCCGTGATGTGCGCTCGTAGACCTTACTCATACATACTGATTATCCGTTACTTATTTTAGTTCATAGTCGATGAAGATATCCTGGTGTTCAGGATTATATTAAAAGTTATGAATAATAAAAGTTTATTTGATAAATTTATTGATAAACTAAAAGATCGTATAGTCAACATTTTCCAAACGAGATTTGAAGAAGAGAGACAAAAAGTGGTATCTTTAGAAGAGCGGATCGTTGTTCTGGAGGAGCAACTTTCAAAACAGACGTACCTTTTGGAGGTACATGAACAATATTTGCGTCGTAATAATTTACGAATTTTTTGTGTTAATGAGAAACCCGAAGAAATATTGCGGACGTGGTTGCGAAGATTTATAAAGACAACCTCAAAATTAATGTTGACATCAAGGATGTCGATTGTTGGTTTCTTACCATAAATTTATGCTATGGAATATTCCCGATTACTTGTTTAAGAAGGTTAAATTTGGAAGGAATGTCCATGAGCGCTAGACAAGGTGTTGTTTTCTTATCGCGCCACCGGCCCATAGAACATCTTTATTTGATAGATGCTTCTCTTACCACATTTATAAATCCTACAATCGTATTTCTGCGACTGAGAGATTATTAAGTATTGGGTCGTTCAGGTCTCGGTTGTTTAATAGAATACTTTTTAATCAGAATGATTCCTTTATCTAATTGCGTCGCGGACGTCACGGAATTATAATTCATAAGTTTTGTAATAATAATTAGTCGTTATTATTTTAAGTTTTTTTGTTTGTTGTTGTTTTTGTGCATGTTTTTGCTTTTTTCTCTGTAAAACAGATTTAATTTTAATTTTGTTTTTCTTTATATTTTTCGAGGTTTCTGGTTTTAGAACTATTAATTTTTATTTTATTACATTATTTTTCTATTTTATATTTACTTTTATTTGCTGGGCAATAAAGTTATTATTATTATTATTATATTAATCACTGCACCATTCGGTGTCCAATTTTTAATGTATCTTGTGGTATATCGATTATAATTCGTTCATTTACTACATTTCGTATTAAAAATGTTTCTTATTAGACCATTAAACTATTATCTGAACTATGATGTAGTCTCAATGTACATCATCTACATCATCTCAAATGTACATTAAAATTTATAATAATAGTAATAGGTACTCTCAGAGAGTAATCCACGCCCATGAAATGATCCCGGTGTTACTAAATCATGCCACGAAATTGACAATAAACTCCTAAATAAACTCTGTAAAATAGTATGTAAAACAACCGTTCATTGGTCTACAGGTAGAGTAGTTTGGCGGAAAAGAGTAAAGTGAGTTTTATATCCTATATAAAGTTCGTTATCCTCCTTAATACATTTATCTTTCAGAGGAGGGTATTTTAAACCCGTAAAGGATGTATCGCATCGTCTAAACCTCTTATTTAGTTTCGCGATAACGTGTTTATACATAAAATGGTTCGCGTATAGGACACGTGAAGAGTGTATTTCAGTATTCATTTGGTTGTGTTAACGTGTTCGCACGTAAAACCGACCGCAAACGGAATATATACGAGGACCGTTTTATATTGAGTAAATACTTTAATACGTTAGATGTAGACATGTAACGATTGCGCCGTTAATCCAAACCGTAAATAGCCAATCTAGTGAAGTCGTAAACGCAATCTCCGACCCCGATAATTCAATAGCGAGAGCTTTCATGGTCGTTTCCTAGTTTTCCCCGTGTACCTCCCCGCGATTGCGACATCTACATATGCAAATTGAATTTGAATCCGTCTGGACCCCTAATTTCTTACTGGTTCCAACTGTGCTGTAGGACCACCCAAGGCAAAATTGGCAGCAGAATTCTCGCGAGAAGTTATTCCGTAGAAATTACCCTTTTTGTAGAAATCAGATTTTGCGAAATCTTAACTATTAAAACTTCCTCCTGGAGGTTATAGGTGAAATGTTGGTCATATTCTTCGAGATCACGTGCCTCATCAAGGATAACGATAACGACACCCTCGCCACTAAACCCTTGATAACCGTTGATGTCGATTACACCATTCACGAGTTCAAAACCACAAATGACCTAATACGAAACAGGTTATCGTGTCCGGTCATTTGCGGTTCTTAAGTTTAGAAAACGATGATTGTGTTTTCACATCGCTATGATTTTAAGTGTACGTTTTGTTTTAGAAATCCCAACGAGCATCATAAGCAAGAACCGGTGTTGGCAGCTTCTAGAGAAAGAAATCGTTTTCGATCGATTATTTGGGACGAGTATGACTCAATCCACCAAAAATATTTAGAAATCGGTAAGTAAAAACATACAAACTAAAACAAAATTAAAATGCAATCAAAACTTCATTAGTCTATCGAGTGTAAATTTCCAATAATTCCCATAAAAGCAATAAAGTCCGAATTTTGTATAGGTACTGCATGTAAAATTTATATACTCGCGAAGCTTCTGTTTTATTGGCCCAAAATTAACTACCATTAGTGTGTAACGAGATCGTTGGCAATAATTTTGGAATATTTGCTATCATTGGTAAAAATAAAACTGGTACAAAAAACGAAGAGATGGAGAAACAATCGATTCCGAGCTCCAGTTTAAAAGTCCTATAGTGGATTTATCGTATTGTATTAACATTATATTTAGAGTTTTCCACAACTCTTTTAAATTCATTTAAAACGTGATTATTTTGTTTCTATTTTATTTATCTCGATTGGAATAACTGTTTTTTTTTTAATTCATGATTTTTTTTATTGATTACTGATTTAATTCTAGAGATTTTTTCCTCTCCCTTTCGAATGTTGTATATGTGAAAAAAACTAAAAGATAATTTTATAATTTATATTTCTATTAGTAATGAAATTTTCCAACCGCAACTCGAATAAATTGGTTAAAGCATCAAATCGTTCCCCTCGGTGGTATTCTAATCGCATCCGGATACTGCTCCCCCTTAGATTAAAACCCCTAAAATTTCGTCTCATCGAGCTTGAGGCGTAAGAAACTCGTAACTGGGAACGTTTAAACGCAAACAACAAAGAACGATTTCGGGGATCCCATCTCAAAGGAACTGTGCCAGATAATGGCCACGGGCGCTATTTAAAATTGGCTGCAGTTAAGGAACCTCGAATGGCGGCCTCTTTCGATCCGGTAATAAATGATGGGGCGACCCTTTGAATATTGATGGTCTCGAGCCGACATTACGGATGGGTTTAAATGGCGGAAATGGAGTGCACGTCAAGGATGGATCTTATATATTTCGCGCAGCGGCAGATGTTCGCCCAGCACACGATCCCCGTGTGCCCCGCTGTAAGTGATGTCTCACACAGAGCTCCAGAGCTTGATGTATTATTCGCTTTTCAGTTACTGTTGTGTACCTGGTGAGTGATCACTTACATTTGCTCGACCGAAACGCCCTACAAGTAGGTACCCAGATTTTGAACGCATTCATTTACGCTACAATTATACTGCATTGCGATCGCATTAATACATTGTTAATGCAAATGCGTGTATTGTCTGAAAGGTTTGTAATGTCTCAAATTCATCGCTTCCGATTAGATCACGTTCTCATGGAGGAAACGGAAGATATTTAATGCAACTGTATGAGAAATCTTCACTAAAGCTCACCGATCTAGTAACATTATTAGATAACCAGCGTTTGGAGAAAGGGCTTAAAACTACTATGTTCTCTCGGTCGCGAAGAGACCTTTTGCACTTTAGATAATGAAACAACCAAACCATGTGCACTGTTTTTACTTCTTCGCCTCATTCTCTCATTGTTTATTTACAGTCGATGTTTAATTTACTCGGTCGATGGCATTTTACACGTCATATTAAAAACGACGGACGTATAGAGTAGCACATTAAGCGCGCTTTAAAAATTCATTGTTTCAGTGCAACGAAGCGGTGGTGGTTTTTAAATATTTAGAGGTTGAGATTAGTGGCCAAAAAGAGTGTTGTTGTTAAAGTTACTCCGGGAAATAACTTCAGTTGGAGAAATTGGATCTCCTTGCTTTTGTTATTTGAGAGCTACAGTAATCTGAAAGATTGTTTTTGGTGATATTAAAAATTACATTACTGAAATTGCGGCTGGTGCACTTGTTGAAGATATATATTAGCTTCTTGGAAAATTGAAATTGTCCTATTTGTTAGGCATTACCTTAATTGAATTACTGGGTGAATACTTTTTACGTTAGAAGCTTTTTGAATGGGGAGCTACATAGGAGTGTAGAATTTGGTGCGGAATTTAGGTGAATGAGCGCTTTTATACTGTATAAACTAGGAAAACAAAGGAAACAATTTCATTTTCACGACTTCAATAAAATTTCTTTGAAAGCTTCCTTTTAATTAACTTTTGCTTTTACGTTTACTTTTTTAAGTTAATGATATTGCATATACCTTAACGGATTATGTACGGCACCTGAGCTTTATCCACATGTAGAATAGGTGCATTGCATCGGTCCCTTGACTTTATAAGAACCGGAGGTGCCTCCGCAGAGAAATAAGCGCAGCCGTAAAAATTTGCATTGCAAATGGTTGGATTAACTTTAGTTTCGCGCTGCCAACATTTGTGGAAAATAGAAGGAGTAAGGACTAAACCCTGGACGGCGTGACGTGCCCTTTTCGTCTTCTCAAATTTAAATTAGCTGGACCGCAACTGCTTTCGTTCCGGGGAGAGTTTTGGCGAGAACTTTTGGGATGATCGCGACGTCGGTGCCACATTAAATTGAATCACGTGTGGCCCCATTGGCAGTCGCAGCTCGGCGCAGGTGCTCCTCCAGGAACTTTTATGGCAGAGACGGCAATGACCAAAATTGAGAACTGCATCTAAAGAAATGCCTCCGGTATAACTTTACAAACTTGTGTCTCTAAAGGGATTTTTACATTTTTTATTTCCATAGGGATTAAAATTATCTATAAAAAGATGTTTTATTAAACAAAACTTCTCGTAAAACTCATCACAGGGGAGCTCAAACTTTTTTGATTTTTCAAAATTTTAAATCTTATAGTCTCTGATAATCAAAAATGAAGATTTGAAAAAATCATAAAAACTATGCTTATGGAAACTAAGAAATTATTTGTGGCACGCTAAATCTGTATTAAATTTGCTTTAGAATGTTCTATACATCATCTTGATATCTCAATTCGTTCTTGAGATGTCATTTTTTTTTAATGGATTAAAATTACCTAAAAAGATGTCACGTTTTTTATTTCCTAAGAAAGTCAATGAAGATCCTGTTTGTTTCTAAGATATTCTTTTATAAAAACCCTTTCATAAAACTCTTCACAGAAGCAGTTCAGAAGCTTTTTCTTTGGTACTCCACCTGACATCGCAGTGACTGTTGGGTCCTCTTCGACCCTTTGTTCAAGAGTCGGGGAATTTCTCGGGGGAGTTTCTTTTTAAAAATCCCGGCGAGCATTCCTAACCCCTCTCTCCATGATGTATGACGACAAGTGGCGTCATCTTGGCCGTAATTACCGTCGAGTCTCTGGTACCGCTTTTCTGGGAGCCCATCCCGACGTGACTCCCGAAACGTCTCCGGGAATGTTCCGGGAACGATCGCACGGAGGCCATAAATCTGTCGTTCCTTTGGGAGCTCCCACGTACTGTCCCTTTTTATCATTGTCGGTCGTCCACCCGGAGCGAACTGGCGACAGAGCGCCATCTACGGCACCAATACCACACTTTGACTTATGCGGAGAACGTCTCGTAATGATCATTTTGAAGTTATTTATGATGCAAAGCGGAGATAATTTTAGAATTAGATTATTATAGATAAATTATCGCAAACTGCTTTAATCTTATCCCAGTAAACAACGAAGCACCTCCCTTTCACAATATGTTTGTCGTATGAGAACCATCCCTTTATCATCCTAACGATGGCGTCATGCATTTTCCCCGCAATTTCCACAATCCCTCGTACAAATCCCCCTATCCATAGTTCAAGCCGCGTACATGGCGAGTCACGGGATATCTTCCCATCTTCGTACGGCTCTCCCGGTTGCAAATCTCCGAACGTTTGTTCGTCCGGGCGGCTAACATTTTACCCTTAATAAGATATTTATATGCGCCCGGCGCGTCTCGACGTCCGCAGTTTGTCCCGGGAATACGTATTACCGGGAGCCATGTAGGAAAAGAGTCGCCGGGACATTTTTCACCGACAAACTCGGGCGCCGACGTCGCTTTGGAAATTATAAAGGACTACTAGGTTCGCCAAGATGAGCCACGAGCTGGAAAGTTCGGACCCAAGCGAGTGCACGTTAAAAATACATTAAGCACACTTACCACAGCTAAAAGCTGCCACTCTAAAACCGCCGGTTTAATATTTTTCATTATATAACTTACCAATTCTTTAATATCTACCTCAAAATTAATATATTTTTGCCGTTGTAGAATTTCTATTATCATCTCTTAAAACAACTCGTTGTTTTATAAAACTGTTGGAACAATTTTTTGTAAGCAAAGTGAAGCGACAAAGTTGCGTCGCCTCCGAATTTATAGAAGACTGGACGAGGCACGAGCCAGAAAGTTCGGACACGGAGCGAGTGCGCGTTAAAAATACATTAAGCTCACTTACCGAGACTAAAAGCTCCCTTACCGAAACGGTCGGATTATTTTACGTGCTCTAGCTAGCGCGTCGACGACGCTGCCAGTTGCTATGTAAAAAAGCTTCAAGATGAATATGCATAACACTCGGGACGATTATGTAAGCTGTCACAGATTTTAATTGCAAAAGTATTCTAGGACACACTTATCATGGTGGACGACGGAATAAATTATATTATATTTCTCCCTATTAGGAACTCCAATACAAGGTTTTTACACGGAATAAAGTATAAACAAAATTTCTTTTAACCTTATTATCTATTTAATCTCAAATACTGAGAAGTTTATTCTACTAACAAGAACAACCAGACACAGGATTCGATTTCGTCTGGGATAAACCACCAAGAAATCATCTTTTAGTTTGAACCGTCGTAACTGCATCGGAAAATACGAAGAAAAGCTGGCAACTTCCCCAGATATTCGATCGGCTTACGTTCGTAAAGGAAAAGCAGATGTCGCTTCTCTAGAAATCGCAAAGTTGTCTGACAAAAATCGTCCGTCGTAGAAGTGTCGCTGTTACCATGATCCCGTAATAATTGAGCTGGTACTTTCGAATTTCCTCCGCGATAGTTTCTAGGAGGCTCAGGTGACAATATAAGTCATTCCACACGAATTCCCTCGCCGCCGTTCGTAAAGAAGTGTTCCAAGTTTTAACCGAGTTTGTATTACTTCTTGTTTCGCTCGTGTAAGTTTTAGTTTATAGATTATTTTGCGGCCAGACAGAACTTTCACAATGTTTCACAGCGTTTGAAGTTTTCGAAATAAATTCTTATGGCGAGTGTAAGCGAACTAGGTGTAAGTGCTAGGAAGAGTACAATTTGCCGTATAGTTGAAGTTTTGTGAAAACCTTTCAGATAAAATATTAAGGAAACTTTTAAAAAAATTGTGCTATTCAATCATATCGTATTCATCGTATTGTTAACTGTTTGTACAAGTTAAATCACCACAATTCCGGTTTTGGAATCCTTAACCCTTAACGATCGTGCCCGAGATATCTCGGATAGCGGTACAACACAAAAACAGTCACTTTGTGGACATGGACGTATATTTTTGGTGTTATTTATTATGAAATGTTGTGCTAAAATTTGTTGGGAAATTTCTCAACTAAAGTCTCAACAGATTTGATGATGAAAAATGCTTATATTAATAAATTAGTTTTTATTCATTTCTAACTATTTTTGTGTGTATTCATGTAAGCAATAAATAACAAACATATTATAGCAATACACGATATTACATTATACATTACTACGGTAATGTACAAAGCTAATCTCATTATTCCACATTTGACTCCGCTTAAAATGGTAAAAGCGAATACCCTTTGTGCCGAGCGTACCTTGAATCTTTTTAAAGCTTATTGTTCAACTTATTAGATCTCGTAAAGGATTCTAGCTGTCACAGGCACAGAGGGGTCTGTGACATTTAATTTAAATTTCAAATTTAACTTGCTTTGGAATTAAATAGTTTCCATTGTTGACCACTGACCTAGAACTTACCCGTCCAAGCAATTAAGCAATTGGTTTTAATACGAAATTCGTTTTTATCTTGCAGGCATGAAACCGAGAATGAAGAATCATTTCCGTGCGCACCAGTTGAGCGTTTGGTTGAGGCTGATTCCGGAGCTTCATAGGGCGGGGATGGAAGACGTCGTGGCAAGACACAATTTATTTCGGAATCACAATAATGCTGATTTGTACGATGGAGCTGTTAGACCCGATCCGTTATCAAGAGTTAGCTATTACAATCCAACTATGGAGTTAAATTATAGACCAAGACCAAATGTTAGTTTGACCAGCATCGAAACTCCTACTACTATGGATACTATTGTAACAACTTGCGTTAATGTTGTTTCTCCAAATACGTTTAACCACCAAAGTTTTCAAAACCAAAATACCTCCACAGATACTTTAGCTAGTTTAGAAGCGGCTGGTTATGCAGCTTATAGTACAGCGTTAAGTGTTACAATAGCAATCGGTTGTTCGTTGTTGATTCTGAACGTTCTTATTTTCGCCGGGGTTTATTATCAACGTGATAAAACCCGTATGGAAGTAAAATCGTTGCAGCAACAACAAAACAGGAACCAACCGAACTTTGAAACCATATCTAAACACAGCCATTACCACATGGGTCACTCTCAAAGTGGAAGTGTCATCGTAGATGTTGAGCAAGATACTTCTGCAATGATCCTAGCTAACGCTCAACAAGATATCAGCACCTTATCGAAGGTTCAACAACATCTTTGCCCGTCGAATATACAGTTGTCGAGTATGAAGGTCCCATCGTCGACTCAAAGCAATTGTATGACGCTTCCTAAAAACGCTTCGCTATGCTCTCAAAATTATAACCCGGGTTGTATGACACTGCCAAAAAATACCAGTCTTATGAACAATACAGCTTGTGTTATAGCGGAAATGCAACAACAAGGGTTGGTTCAACCTCCAAATGGAAACGCAACGATGCATATGAGCGTTCCAAGACCACCACCACCGCCGCGAACAAAAAGTCCACCAGAAAATCAACCTTTATTGGCGAACAATGGTAATAAAAATATGCGTTTGCCTCAGGCAGCGATGAGTGAAATGAGAGTGTGATAGCATAGATCAGTTGAAAGATATTGAAGTGCTCAATGACTATGTGTAGTAGGGTGTGTTTAAAACGGATAATAATAAATCGGATAGTCGGGCCTAAACACAGTAGCCTAAAAAATTAAAAATGAAAAATTGAGTTTCCTGTAAATAATAAAATACCAACTAAAATATTAACAAAAATAAATCGAAGTTTATTCTGAATGTGTTAAATGTGTAAGTGTTATATTCAGAACTGAATATATCCGGAAATGAACACACATTTCGTTTTAAAGAAATCGTTAAGTTTGATGTCCTTCTTTTTTCCCTGTTATATGTTTCAAAATCTAGTTATGATAAACTATTTTATTTATAAACTAAAAATGGATCACTTAAAAAAATAACTATAACTATTAAAAAGTAAATGTTAAAAAAAAAACAATTAAAAAGTCAAATCTTGTAACTTAGTAACGATGAAGAAACTTCATTCTACTTTCCTCTTCTTCATAGTTACCAAGACTACTCACATCATCTTTCCTATTATTTTCTCGTTTAATTAGAAATTGCTTTAGAAATATACTTCAAAATGAAAAATCAACTGCCACTAAAATTTACTAAATTCACTAAATTTAACGAAGATATCAATTTTTTTTAAATTTTCACCGAGTTTTTTTTTGTTCGTGCCAAGTACGTAAACACTAGGAACGGATTTGTAAGAACTAAAAGTGCGCCGATATTTCTGAAAAGTTAATCATCACGATTTTTGAACAATAGTTACGACTTCAACAAAAAAAAAGGATTTAACAACACGGTGTTTTTAATTTATAACAACCCTTTTTAAGGCAAACGGACAATCTTTACTTGTAAATATAAATAAACACACCGAACTAAATTAATAAAATTAAATGAATTAACTAAATTGTGAAACGGTTTGAATTTTCAATCAACACGAAAAGGGTCGTAACGCGCGTAGAGGAAAGGTGCACTATGTATTTATATACACTATAGGAATTGTATATAATATATATTGGTATTAACTATGACTAAAAATCGGCGATAACATGTATTAATTTCGTTTTTGTTTTTCAATAGAGACATTTATGTCCTAAAAATCCGTTTTTCATTTACAAGTCTGTCTACCACGAGAGAAACGTATAAAAACGAACGTACCGTCATGAATTTGTCATTCAGTTTGGACCTGTTGCAGATGTTTTAAATAATGTGAAAATAATTATTAAATAAACGGTTTAAAAAGAGTCGTGTGTTTTATTATACATTACTTTCAAAATCAATAATTGTTAAAAATTTGAATCAGAATTTTAATCTAACTACATTTCATTTATTTATTCTTATTAAGTAATCGTTAAATTAAATGTACATGAATGAACCTGCTTTTGTGACTCAAAAATTTGTATATAAAATCGTTGATTATGTTATCGCTAGTTCAATGTTAATTGCAAGAATGATTATGACATCCACATTCCTTTCCATTGAAGCAGCTTTCTTGATATGAAATGATACGATTGAATAAGCCCAGGTAAATCACGTCATGGAGTGCAATTCAAATGACCACTTAAAAGCTTAAGGAAGTTCGAGGTGTAAGGTAAGGCACAGAACCAACCTTTACAACTGTAAAGTCAGTATTTGGCAAAGTTTTTAATATCAAAATGATTTTTTTAAAATAGATTTAAAAGGGCCGTTGAAAACGACCAGCATTTCATAATACGTTTCCATATTCTATCAACCTTAAATCCCCTAAAATGTGACTGTAAAATTCAAAACATCCCTTTTATTGCACGTTGGCGAATGTCGTGCCGGACAGCTTCCGGTCTGGGCGTCTATACGTCACCGGGACCCAATATGTATGGAAATGTGGATATCGGATCTCCCATTTGTGAGCCCTCAAGCGAATGGCGGTCGAAGAAGGACACGTTTTAAAAGTGTCTTCCTCCTTAACGTTGAAAACGTTGTGGATTTTCTTAAAGCCGTTTGCCATCTAACTTATCCTTCGATGTGCAATTTAAAGGGCATCGACCTCGACGAAGCTTTTGTTCTTGGTCACGCCAGAGTTTCAATTGTTTAACACGTTACCATCTCCTTTGAAACCGCTTAAACTTTAAATTACCTTGGATCCAACCAAACTTAGACAATGAATTTTGACTACTCACGGGGTTAAATCGTTTCTAAGAACTGAAAACAATTTTCATGCAAGAACTTTTCGATTAAAAAAATTTTAATAGCCACATTTTCAGTAACAATAATATAACATAAAAATTCATAATTCACGACTAAACTTTTAATCCTCGCGTTATAAAAGTTTTTTAAGCTCTCCCGTACATAGTCTATTAATTTTTAATTTTTTTTTTATCATCACGTCACATGACATTTTAATAATCTACTAAACTGGTTCATCCAAGTTGACGATTAATTAACCCATTTGCATCATAAGCTTAGATATGTGTGGACTTTTTCTGGTTATAACAACTTAGTACTAATAGCTAGAATTAATTTATTGACCCACAGGCTTATAAAACGACGTCAAAAGTAAAAGAATAGGCGATTTGCGATAAAAAAAAAACACAAACTTTATTTGTGGTAATATCACGAGGTATACAATATCATAATATAAAAACACACTTTGAGAAATACTGCTCTTAGCTATTAAATACTGAATACAAGTTTCTTTTAATAGTTTAATTTTTTGCGATAATCTTTTGTACTATTAGATCTTAATTCTATTTTAATATCGCTTACAAAAGATTTTTACTAATTTAAACATTGAAAATTAATTTCTTTTAGTACTACAAAAAGAAGTTTCAAAATCTTTTGTATTCGATTTTAATTATATAAATGACTAAGTTCACTCACACTTTTTATTATTTTTTCACAACAGTTCCCGTATCGGATGCCTCCGAAGGGGTCGAATCCGTGCTAGATTCTTTTTGTTCAGTACTATCCTTAAGAGGACTAGGAGATCTCGTCGAAATTTGTCTTGTTAATGTCGCAACTGAATGTTCTTCCGATTTTTCAGTCTCGTTCTTTGTTAAATGAGGAAGAGGAAAATTGTCGTTCACGACAACTCTTGGTCCCTTTGATTTGCTTGGGTCGCTTATCGTCCTCGATATCGTTGGTTTTATAATTACTTTAGGTTCAATTTTCCTTTTTTGATTATCTGCTGTAATAATAGTTTTTGGAGTACTTTTTGGATTTAAATTATCATAAATTGGTTGATTATCCAAAGAGTAATTATCGGCTGGTTTCATAATTACCTTTCTATTTTCACGGGAAGGAATTAATGGGCCTATATATAGATTATTACACGCGACCTCTGGTTCTTCTGGAAGCGGGGGTTCTTCCGCTAATCGAGGATATGATTGAGGAGTTCGCCCTAAAGTTGATACTCTAGGTGGAGGTGGAGGTGGAATCGGTTTAGATCCTGAAGTACACGGCGAATTAGGTTGGGAAAATGAAGAATTTTCTGGAATAGGGAGAAAAAGATAACTCGGAGCGGGCATCGATCGCCTTTTTTGCGAAGAATTATTTCTAAATCCTGGGAGATCGGGTAAAACTTTAGGGCAATTTCTACGTTTTATAACTTGGAGGGACTCCTCAGGGGATAATGATGGGATATGATCTGGTTCATCTCTAGATGTGACGTTAACAATGCCGGGATCAAAAGTTTTTAATTTTCTAGGTGTTGCTTTTGTATCAACCGGATCTGATTTTGAGTGATAATGTTCAATTTTAATTACAGTACTCTCATCTTCATTCGGTTGTTGTAACTGGAGGTTTATGCTGGTCGAATTTCGTTTTGATAAACTTGATTGTGGTTTCATACTCCACACGTCATCTAAAGTGGCTGATCTTCTTAAAGGAATTTCTCTTTCACTGCTATCAAAACTGCTATAATCTAATGATTTTGTTAATTCGATGGGTTCTTGTCGCATAACGCTACTTCCTCTTCCCGCGGGCGTTGCATCAATTGCAACCGAAACTTTTTCTGCTTTCTTTTTTAATGTGGCAAATTTCGGGGAATCTTTAATTTCTTCTGCGGGACTCACCGGCCTTGTTGGGCTTTGCCCTAAAGTTGAACTACTCGCAGCAAGTCCAGGTGTATCCATAATGTCATTAAAATCCTTTGATTTACGATTTTTCTTTTTGCAATTTTTACTACTTTTACTATTTTTACTATTTTTGCTATCAAGACTAATTTGTCTAGTGTTTTTTCTATCTGCTTTTGGACTATATTTATTAACGATTTCTTGCGCTATCCATTCCCTTACTTTAGTATGAGCATCAATAGTACTTGACGAAAATTGTCTTTTTAATTTTCGTTTTGACGATCCAGTTTTATGCGTTTTTACAGCTTCGTAAGTGTCGCCGCTTTTCGATGATTTTGTGCCAATTATTCTCATAATGTTACAACCATTTTCGTTAATTTCGACTTTGTTTGCTAATTCGATATTATTTTCTCCCGATGTTGGCGAAGCTGCTTCTTCAATTGATGGATTTTGAGCACAATTTTTCCGTTTCAAAACAACGCATTTATAATAAACGAATGTGAATAAAGAAACGTTTATTAAAAGAAACACGACGGCTAAAGTTATAATTACGTTCGTCGAACTCCCTGAATTAACGTTAGGTTTTTGAGTTTGGATATGATTCGTTGGGGCTTCTTGCTTGGTTATTGGATAAATTGGCCTTTTTGTAGTTATTTTATAACTTGGGCGATATCGATTAACATATGGTGTATATGTGGTTCGTATTTTATTCTTATCAATTCTAATGTTTTTGATTTGTGCAAAATCTTCGTTCCAATAATTGAGGTGGTCCTCACGATATCTCGATTTTACAACCGGTGGTATATTTATATGCAAATATTGTTCCCCCGAATCGTATTCAGGCCATTTGATTCCATGCTCGTACCAAGAAGACCACGTCAAATCTTGCCTCCTCGTGTATTCATAGTTATTGGGGTCCCTAGAAAATTAACTGTGAATTTCGATCTTGTGTTTACAAGCTATTAGTTGAAGGGTTGTATTGTATCTAAGCGTCACCTGCCGATGACGTTGTAAGCAAACACTACAGTCTCCTCGCAATTACATCAGTGTACCTAATTGTGGTGAGCGTAACGCATGCTCGTGTCACATTAATCTAAAGCATCCTAGCGCTATATCATCGTGTTAGTCTCTAAAGTATTTACTCAAAACTCCTTCAAAGAAATACCTTACCCTGTATAAGCGAAATTCGACCAAAGCGACATCATCATCTTTGATATGTTCACCTCCTTCCTTGTAAATCGTTGCCCTGGATTTGTATCCAATGGAACTCCAAATACAAAGGGTAAATCTTCACCATGAATGGTTTTATTTGCTTGCAACTGAAATTTAAAAAATACGCAATTAAAGAAAAGAGGTTCTGAAACTCTTGTAGATTCAGCTACATTCATTGAGTGGGCTCTTTAGTAGCATGTTGGGGGAGTGAAAATGGAGCATTGAAAATTTATACAGTGGGAGGCGTGGACCTTTTAACAATGAATAAAGTAGGCGGGTTAGGCCCTTCTCTTTGTGATTACAACTCTAAGATGTCGGCTTCCGATTGTTTTCTAAACGGAAAACAAATCGATCCCCTCTAATTCAACCTTCAATTTTATTAATAATTTCATCCACAAAGTTCATTTCATCTTTAATTAACATTTGATGGCATTTTAATACTTCAACCGTTCCTTGAATTTAAAATATTCATTTCCTTTCTATCATTTTGCATTAATTACGTCTGCAAACAGGCGTCAGCGGAATTGTAGACCATATTGTTGACTCAAGGACACCTTTCTTTATCTAGGTCAAGATTGAGGGCGTCGTTAGACCGTAACGAACAAAATCGAAGGCGTAATTGGCGTCTCCAGAGCATCGTGATTCTACACGGGATGCTGTCCGCCGCTGCACAAACGTTCGTTTATTCAATTTCGAACGGTTCTATTTTATTTCCAGCGAAATTTCCTTCGTCCTGTCTGGAAGGGAAGTCACAGAAAATGACTTTATATATGTTTCCATCTTTTGAACGATTTTGTAAGATTACTCTAAGATGAACTTAAATTTTAGGATTCTTCGGAGATGACATGTAGATTTATTTCATTATTATAATTCATCGAAGAATGAATGTGGTTACGTACCTAACAGTGAGTTGAAACAAAAGTTGAAATAAATCGCGATTGTTATATAACTATATACTGCGACAACCGCATAACAACTCGACGAAAAATATTTTATTACACTCACGTTTAATGTCCTGGACGCCGTACTGTGCCCGAATACGTAAAAGTAGGAGCTTGAGTTCCGGGTGGAATGCAATTTTCCCATCATAACGACAGGTGCTGCCGTCCGGGCGTCAGAAAGCAGATCCAACAGGATGTCCCTCGCTTGTCCCGCCGCTTCGTCAAATGGCGAAATGGGCAAAGGGGAATCCCGGTTGAATAGACTTCCAGCTTTATATTCTCCGATGATGTGTTCTACGCAGAAACTCTTGGACTCGCACCTCGTGTCCATATAGTCACTCAACTCGGACCTGAATTCCCTCTCTAGCAGTCCGTGGTTTAGGGCAACGTTCCCCAAGAGATGGACACTTTCCAACTCGGTCACGCCGTACATTACTTCGAAACTAGTGAGACAAAAAAACATATTTTGTTATAAAGTAGATAAAACATTTAAAAAAAAAAAATAAATAAATAAAATACTTACGATGATAATATATCTGATTTCATCATTTTTTCTGGACTATCTGGAATAACTCTACCATCCACAACCGGTCCAAATCGAGTTTCATATTGTGATACGGGTGGTACGGCGTCTAAAACGTCATAAAGACGTTTTTTTCTCAAACAATTTATTAAAGATTCTTGATCTAATCCACAACCTAATGCTTTAGCGACACTTTGCATTACGTCAGATGGATTAGTCGCTAAAGCCCAATCGGATAATGCACTCCCACTCATTAAAATGGCTCTTTGGAATAACTTTTGGAAAGTATTATTTTGAACACCCTTTTCTCCATAACTATAATAATTGATCATCGGTGACAGCATTAAATGATTAATGCAAGCTGCTCCGGTTCCGTGTCCAAATAAAGTAACTTTATTAGGATCTCCACCAAAACTTGCAATGTTTTGTTTAATCCATAACAAAGCTGCTATTTGGTCGATTAATCCGAAATTTGATGTTGTTCTGTCGATTTGCAGAAATCCTAAAAATGTTATTTGTATTTTAAAAGGAAAAAACTTTTTTAATGTTCTTTTTTTGTTTCAATCCAATGTTTAGATTTAGATTTGCTTTCTTTGAAACACGATTGTACCGATTGAACCAGAAAAGACTTTGATAAAGCGGGAGCGTCGGCGTGAATTGTACCCCAACCGTTCTAGGAACCAGATACCTTCCTCAGGTATCTAAATCGATCAATGAATAATGGAAAACGGATTCGTGACTTCGTGACTCAAATAAAGTCGACTTTAAAGTAGGGTTGGGTGTCTTAAAAGGTACGATGCGACGTCCTATTCTAAACGATAAGCGGCCACTTATCGGGTTCGCGCAAATGTTTTTGAATTATTATCCTGCTGGGATCCACGTTTTATCGCAATCTCGTAAAAATAAGATGGACTCGTCCTAGATGCCCTTCGGTTTAGTTGCGATTTTATAGTTTGGGACATAGGTTTATTGTCTTTAAAAAACACAGAACTAACTGTTAACGAGAATAGTAACTATTTATTAGGTTTGTTTTAGAACAACCATTTCAGGTAGATAATAAAACGCCAACTAAATAAACAAAACAAAATAACCCTAAAATAAAGTATTGGATTAAGTAGAAAGTCGTATTCGAAAAATGGTTGATTTTGTGGCACTTCATATTGTCAAGTAAGGAAAGTATTAGGTGAACATTTCACCCGAAGTTTTTTTTCGTTTGGATGATTTCCATGGAGTGAAATTTATTTCCCTTTTTGTGCTATTCTATTGTACCTTGTAAGTCTATGGGGACGAGTTTTTCCCACCTCGCTTAACTTTATCTTTTTATATCATTGTAAATTGAGAATTACCCCGGTTCTCACCGGCGAGCGCAATAAAATTACTCTGTTTATTGTGCGAAGCGTTTGCCTCTTTTTCACGGTCCGCAAGATAAGATATCCGGCTCGGGGGAGCCACAATCTTTCGGGGTGGTTGATGTGGACAGTAACCCTCTCCAGACAAATGAAATTTTTCGTCCCCGAGTAACCGAGCGATAAAGGAATTTCGTTGCAGTGCAACGGTAAGATTGGGGAGAATTCACCACAATTTGACCTACTAAAATTGTGTTTGAGCAAAAAGGTTTACCTCGTTGTATTTCTCATACAATGCACGTACTCAAATTTATCTAACTGACACACGTCTAAACGTTAACACACCATTCATTGACATTATCTGTATTTATATCTGGCATTTGAATGCCAAACGTAAATGTTATTTATGATGCGATATGAAGTTTGAAATTAACCTTTTAAAATAATAAAATTTCATAAATTTTTCATTGTTTTATTACATTATTATTTAAAAGTATCTAAAAAATTGAAATCTGGAAAATGTTTATTGAATTTTTATCAAATCAATAGAAACCAGCTATTTTTTAATGAAGAAATATTATTATATATAATTAAAAAATTTTCAGTTTTTTGCTCTAAGCTTAAGTAAATACAACGAAATGCCAAACTGAGAGTGTGGTGGTTTCTGCGGTTCATCTAGTGTCAGAAAAATGTAATCTCAATGTGTTTTAGACGGAGATAAGTGTCAGTAGTCTGGCGGTCGTCACAATGGTAATGCTTATAGCTTCAAGGTATTCTAGTCGGGGCTGGGTTTGTGTGAACTTTGTGTACTCTGTGCTTCAGCGTGGACTAAACCGAGCAATTACATTCTCTCCAGTAACACGGAAAGTTCTTAAGTTACGCTTGTACGAAGTCTTTTTTGCATAGAGAAAACCATGGACTAGGTTCTTTCTAAACACATTTAGCAAGTTACCAAACGAATCTTAATTAATGTTCCAAACACCATCAATAGCTATGAATAGACCTGGACATCGTGCTATTGACGTTACCCAAAACAGGGAAGTTAACAATGTTATTAATTACACCGTAAAATGGAGTAAATCGTGAACTCCAAGAAAAAGTATAACCTATATTAATTAATACGATGTTATCGAAATAAAATTTAAATTAAAAATATTGAGTGAATCTTAGTTTGAATTTGAAACACGTGCCACCATCTGTTGGCGTATTTTGCATGCACATCCAATACGCATTCAATTCCCTAATCGTATCGAAGAGCTAATATTGTCCCAGATGATTTGTGGATGTCACCGCACCCTTAATTTATGGTTTAGATAATTATTGTCAGTAGTACGGCCGCCGAAATCTAATGCGTTGGTTTGTACCCTGTATATTATGAGTTATGATCTAGGACTTACCCAGAACACCTAAACGAAAATTTAGGGTTACAACTATGACTTTTCCATATTCCGCTAAAATACTGCCGTCATAGGCGTTTCCGGAATTCCACTCGAATGATTCTCCATTAATATAAACCATAACGGGATACTTTTTTAAGTTTCTTCCATCTGTAAAGAGCATAATTGAAAAGTTGTTAATTAAACTGAAATGGTAGTTTTAACAAGCACGAAATACATCAAATAATGTTGATTATGGAAATAATTTTAAAAGTTAATTAGTGTCGAAGCTGAAACATGAATCGACAAATTATGATTTCCCGTTATAAATTATAAACTAACACACACATTGATAAACACCGTTGATGAAAATGTAATCATAATTTAAAATTAATTTTATATGCTCTTTGTAACATATATGATTCCGGCGAATAATTTCGCGTTATACAATAACTCTATAGAAATCATTTATTCTTTATAGAATCAAATTTATTGTCACCGATTGGAAATAAAATTTAATTAAGCACGACGCTGAAAAGCGAACACCCTACTTCAGCAATTAAGGAAAAGCCGTCGAAGTGGTGATTTTAAATTACACCTCCCTTTCCCTTATTCAGCAGTCGTGTAATTAGTATTGAATTGGGGGAACTTAAAAAAAATTGCGAAACGTCTCCGTAGAGAATACCCCCGGAGGCGAAAAAAGCTCTAAGAGCTTCTACTTTCGGAATACATTATGCGGCTTTCGGAGGACTTTAATTTATTATTCTCGGTTCGGGTTTTTCTAACAAAACTTTTTAAGTATCACTTCACACTGAATCTTTTCTGATTTTCTTCTTTGCTTACTTTGTCGATAAAGGTATACTTAAAACATTATTATTGATGATTAAATTATTAGTTTAATTAGAGGTAAGTAAAATGTATGTCCCAGTCACTGAAAATAGCGCAACTACAACTAGGACGTTTCCATTAAATTAATTACACACAAGAAGCATTAATTTAGTAATTGCGATAGGTAGTGTTAAAGTAATTACATGAACTTTAACATATTAAGTTGAAATGCATAATGTAACGTAGCCAAAATCATAAGTTCGGCGGAGTTTATTCCAACAAAATTGATCTAGTCTCGCTAACAATATGATAACATTTACATAGGTCTGGGTGGATGCCGAATGCAATTTCATTCTGTCGCTGGCGAGAGAGAGAAATATCTCATTCAAATTTATGCGTGGCGACATAAAAAGATCCGAGGAACAGATAGATATATTACACATGGCCTAACTATAAAACGGACCCGACATAAATCTTGTATTTTGATGCGAAGTTTTCGGTTATGCAGCCATCTTTTTTACGGCACAAAACGTTACGTCCGGTGAATTCGCATTTCCGCTCGATACTGACTATTTTGGGGATTGGAAGGGTAACATTAAACATTCACGTTGTGTTCGCGCGTTATGCAAAATAAATATACATGAAGAGAGAAATTTCAATGAAAATGAGGCTTTTGTATACCGCAAAACTTAATGTAAACGTATTCATTATTTTTCCCTTCACCCTTATAGCTGAGAGATTTATTTGAATTCCAACGGCATACGAGCCCTCGTGCTTAAAATTTAAATATACCCCTATCACCATAGGAAGTCATTTAAATTTTAAACGGATCGCCAGCTCCATCTATGATATAACAAGTCGAAATTACTTCAAAGTTTTTGAGGGTTCGAACTTTTAGCTATTTGCCGTGTGATGGCGCTGAATACCCTATAATTGAGGATAACGGTGGCGTACTGAACTAGACACAGCTTCCGGTCGATACTTCCACTAATGTTTCTGTCCAACCCCGTCGACAATAAAACTTTAAGCAGACATTAATTAGCAGAGTTTTAATGCAAGAAAAAAAAATTGTGTAACAATGTAATTACCGGTGAGAAGGGTGAGGCGCTTAGACGAATGGGGCGGACAGATTAGGGAGTTTTTTGAACTTTAATGCACTCTTGAGTTATTAAGCAGACGGGAGGACACTTTTATCTTCCCCCGAAATGGAAGGTCTCGGATAAAAATAAGTCATTCTTTTCCGTCTCCTTTGCTTAACTGTTCTCTTATTTTCTTGTTACAAAAAAAATGAACACAGCGACCGTTGAAAGTAATTTCCCTGACAAATTTGGTAATGTAAGTAGGAAATTTATTTTAACTGATGGGGGAAAAATTTAATAAGGTTCTAAATAAGCAAAATACGCAAAATGATATTATACAGGAAGGAAGCAACTCACAATCACGCGGTTTGCCGGATGAAAAATCTCTTTTTAATATAGTACAAGATGATTCCGGGGCCGCAGGTGTCAAAAGTGACGAATGGCCCTCAATATTACGTGGTTAGGGTGGCGTTCGCGAAACTCTCCGGTGGGTGTGGTGGCGTCTTCGCCAGTCGGCTTTGCTCAGCCGGGTCATATATTATCCGCGCCATATTATGGGTAGCACATGCTGCGCCACCTCCACCAATTCTCCTGGCGTTGTCACCCAACTGCCTGCTGTGATAGAGGTTTCACGGAGGCTTTATTAAGAATATGAAGGGTCCGGATTACGGGTATATGACGGCTTGACGAAGGGGCAATCTTTTTCCTTTGAAATTGTTATATACATGTATCAGAGGAGCTTAATAATACATAACTGAAACCTAATTCAAATAAATGTGATTAAGATTCAATAAATTAATATGCAAAGACTGCTTCTAATCTCAATGTGTTTTGTGTAACAGGAAATTCCATCCTATATTAATCAACACTGTTTGGAAGTAAGATCAAAGTTAAATCAAATACGCACGTCATTAGTGCGATTAAACCAATATTTACATTGCACCAGGTTCGTTGTGTGAACTATTTACGGTATTTAGAGCAAAGTTTTTAAATGTTATATTAAGCAATTTAATGGAGCAGATTAACCTAAAATAATTTTCATATCAATTTTACTTGTTATTTGTCTTTTTTTCTAATTTTCGAAATGTAAAAACGAAAAACAAAGTGTAAATTCAATACTTTTCTGTCAATTGTTATCCTGGAGATTAAACAACACGGAGATCTTTTTATAAAACTAGAGTCTATCTCTAAATTCTAATCGGCAAGCTTGACCACAATTAATGTTACCAATAATTTCAATATACATATATGTATACAAGACAAAATAGATGCTTATTTTTCATGTATGCTTCAGTACTTTATGGAGATATTGATTAGATAATAAGAAACTACAATAGCTAATTTTGAAGACCAGAAATGGTACTAAAAATAAAGTAACATACGAGAGAACAGATTCTTCCTACTGCGACGACATCTTGTACACCTTCAGTTTCAAGGTAAACTATTCAGACGCTCTCAGAAATCCTTTAATGTAGAAAGTACAATGGCAAGACTCGGAATGGATTTACCGCGGACTACGATACAGTAGTGAAAACTGCCATTCTCGAGCACGTAGGGAAGTATAAATCTGCACTTGAAACGGGTAATGGGAACAGGCGCTAGAGCTTTTGTGCATTTTCGTGTTCGCCGTTGCTTAAAGGACGCCCTGGTAGTGTGGGGTCGCTACAAAAGGCGTCGCCGCAAAACAAAGATTTGCAATTTTAATAATGCGATCTTGGCTTACCCAGAATGCTCTGGAAAGGCGCCCGGCGTCGGAAGTGTTTCGAACTTAAATGGCACCGGCTTAAAATCGTTTATAACACAATCGCCTCCCGGCATAATGTGACACGCAAATACTTACTCTGGGATTTACACCATCTCCCTTAGCTGTAGATTTACTTGTTAGGTATCTAATTTTAATGGATTAAAATTATATAAAATAACATATTATGATATGGAATTTTAATATATATGCGAAGAGATAGAGAATTTGTGAAAATCTGTGAAGCAAAAACTAAACATTGTTCGCATACGTAAACATTTCATTATACAAATTAAATAAACCGGTATTCCTGCACGTAGAAGGCCCCGTACGTAGTTCTCGAGTAAAGTTGAAGCCGCTTTAAAACATACGACCGTTTGTGGTAAAAACTAGTGAGTCGGACTGTTTGTCGACACTCTTTTTTGCTCGGTCGTAATATCGTTCATCCATCTTCTTTATTTTTGCCTGCTCCCCGGATAAACGGGGACGGAAAGCGCCACCGGACGACATGCAGTTAAGCCCACCTCTCAATTTATTCCATTCTCATGTAAATTCCGTTACCTTAATGGTTTCACGTACCGTGTCCCCTTTAAGCCACCGCCAAGTGGCGTTGAAGGGAAAATATTTTCATTCTACATGTACGTGCTCACCCTGTTTGGATTGTTTGCGACCTTGTATGCTACTACCTGAAGATTAGAAGCGTTAGCTCACCCCATCTACACGGTATTTCATTAAAATAATATTTAAATTAACATCATTTCTAAAACCGTTTTATGATTTAATATAAGATAGAATCATTTTTCCTTTGCGTTTTAAATTTGATTGCAGCATTGCCAGTTCAGCGAATAGCGTGAACAAAAGGCTATCGACTGGTGGGGTTGGGAGGTTGAAATTTTCTCCGGTCTTGTGGTTTCTCGAGTACGGAGAAAAAGTCTCCTCAGCTGACGCAGAAGTAGTGGGCGATGGAGGCAGCGCTCCAGCAATTGCACCATCAAGAGAATTGGTCATGCGGTCTTCGCCGACTGCGATCGCGGCTCGTACCGACCGCAAAGCTAGAAAAGCTCACACTACGAACTTGCGCAGGACGACGGTCGAAATTGGAACTACAGCTTCGACCCGGGATTCCACAACCTTCGGAAATAGTCAATTAGTGTGTGTATAGCTTTAGAAGGGACGTGTTAGTAATCCATTGGTTTATCCGTATACACGTCGAAAATGCATTAAAATAAAACGAAGAGGACTAAAAGAGTTTTTACATTATTCACTGGTTGTAATTGTAAACTGTCTTCATGGAATTTATTGCTTTTCCAAAAACGAATCATGGATTTAAGAAAACACTATCGTTCAATATTGTATATATGTCAATATTATGTCAAAAAAATCTAGTATAAAGGTTAATTTGAGTTGTTATCATGCACTTTTATCTTTTATCTCGGATTACGTCATCCCCTAAGAAAAGATGGTGGAGAAGGCAAAAAAATGGTAAAGGCCACGGGGCGTCTCGCGTTCCGAATTGAAAGCAA